TCGCAGCACGGATCGACGCTGAGACACACATTCGCTTCGTTGGGCAGTCATCCAATCAGTTCGCCTTGTGGACGGTTGGGCAGCAGATGGCGGACCTTGGGCAGCAGAGACATTCCAGACGCTTCACCAGATATGCGGCTCCGGCATGCTCCGTGCTGCTGCAGGAGACCACAGAACAACACAAACCAGCACATCTCGAGCTGATGTCGAGCCTCCATCCCAACCTGCCAGTCAGAACCTATCGATGCACGAGACCACAAGTCCCAGCGAGGCATCAAAACATTGAGAGCCCGACGAACGCTGGCGAGATCTAGATCTATGCTAGTCATGCCATGCAACGACAACAAACACGACGAAAAAAATGAATTGTCGAATAATGCCCAACTGCGCGTTGCACTCTCGCAAAACGTGTAGATAACGCACACACATCGACGGTCATCTGACGGGTGCGTGCGGACATATGGGGCCGATGCAAATCGAGAGGGGTTGATGAGGTTGACAGGCCTCACTCAGCTTGGCCTGGGCGGTGTGTAGCAAACCAAAACACGCGCGAGGCGGACAAAGGAACACAGACACGCCTCGGCTGAGCGCGGATGAAAGAAGGGCGATGATGATGCGAAGCCGATCGATCGCGATTTGGCAGGCCGACGTGGCATGGCACAGACAAGCAGGCGAGATTGAGGAGACCCCTTTCCGAGGTGGGCGGATTCAGGCTGCGACTCCTTGTCATCCACTGGCCAGTTGGCAGAATGTCGGATGCAAGCCTCCCCTATTTTTTGATGAGATAACGGTTCTTGGGCGAACAAACAATGCCCGACCGATTCTTGGCTGGTGGGGAGGGGTGCAGAGAAAAGGAGGCAACGGCCCGCGACATGGTTGGTTTGCAGCGTTGTCAGAGTCAGACGGACCCAGCCCATCGGCGCCGGCAGCCGTGCAGAGCCAGTGGCGGGCGGGTACTGCGGACGGGATCGCGATTCCGGCGCCGTTTTAGAGCAGCAGGGCGGATGGGCTGCCAATAACAGAGGCTGCCGACAGAGGGTTGGCGACAGATGCTGCCACGTCAAAGACGAAACCCACATTTGGCCCCGCGTGGATTTGGCAGCGCAGCCGGATCGCTGCAGATTGGCGAGGCGGGTTGGGCCACACAGCAGTCACGGGTGGGGCACCAGACACCAGCCGGCAGCCAGCACCACAAACGGCGAGCGAGCATCATTTCATCGAAGCCCAATAATGGAAGGGTCGAATAGATCCCAGGGAGAGAGTCCACAATTCGACAGGTCATGGGCTGCGAACCTGGCACCACTCAGCCAGCGTGATGCACGCCCGTCTGTGTGGCCGTCCAACCACGCCTCCCTCATCAACGCTACAATGCCTCAGGCTTTTTGTCTTTGTTCATGACATCGGATGTATATAGCCACTTGGGTCCCCGCCGGGACTCATGGGCGAGTCTCGAGCCACCAACGCAGCAACGCGTGCACACACCCCGACGGACCCGCCCGGACGCCCACCCATCGGTCTCCCGATAGCGTCCCGTTTGCAAGACTTAAATCCCTTCCATACCTTACATAGCCAGTCCGTCCTGACCGACGGACGCCGCAAGCTGGCTGCCCCAACGGCCGAGATCTTCGGGCCACATACCGAGCCCTTCCTGGCCCTGTTCACCGCGCAGGCCCCTGACAGCTTCGACAAAGCCGACAAGATGGGGTCACACGCCGACTCAGATCCCACGCACGCCGTGGACGGCCTGGTGCGGGCCATCCGCGACCTGACGTCGGACCCCAACTACAAGCTGGTCGCCGACGTCTTCAGTGAGTTCTTGTTTCTGAAGGACCACAACCACCGTCTGTCCATGTCGCACCGCGAGACTATGGAGGAGTACCGCAAGTTCCGCAACGAGCTCGAGGCCGGCAAGGACAAGCTCGAAAAAGAAAAGAAGGAGCTCGAGGGCACGATCCACGACAAGATCCAGGAGATATTGCAGCTCACGGCTGTCAAGGCTTCTCTGGAGGGAGATTTGCACGATACCCGCGTTTCGTTGGATCAGGAGAAGAAGGGTGCGGCAGAGGCGGCCGAGACGGCGGCGAAGAAGTTTGCCGACGCCGAGGAGGCTGCCGCGAAGGAGCTGGCGGAGCTGCAGACTTCCAAGGAGACGGAGCTGGCTGCTCTTCAAAAGTCCAAGGAGGAAGAATTGGCGGCTCTTCAAAAGTCCAAGGAGGAGGAACTGGCTGCTCTTCAGCAGTCCAAGGAGGAAGAGCTTGCAGCACTGCAGTCGTCCAAGGAGTCGGAACTTGCTGCCCTTCAAACGTCCAAGGAGACAGAGCTGGCCGAGCTCCAGGCCTCCAAGGAGCAGGCCATCGCCGACCTCACAGCACTCAAGGATGGTGAGATCGCCGACCTGACGGCAAGGAAAGATGGTGAGATTGCCGACCTGATTGCCAAGTATGATGGCGAGATTGCCGCGCTCGAGGCGGCCAAGGCGGCCGTGGAGGATGCAAAGAGGGAAGCAGAGGAGGCTGCCGCCGCCGCCGCCGAGGTAGCGGCACAGGAGATCGCCGCCCTGACCGAGGCCAAGACGGGTCTGGAAGAGGTCAAGGCGGCCAACGAGGCCGAGATCGCGACGCACAAGGACACCATCGCCTCCCTCGAGGAGGCCAAGGCGGGTCTGGAGGAGGTCAAGACAAACCACGAGGCCGAAATCGGGAAGCTGCATGAGGACGTTGCCAACCTTGAGGAGGCAAAGAAAACTGTCGAGGAATCCCTCGCAGCAGCCAACGCCGAGATTGAGTCGCTCCGGTCAACAGTGGCGCAGAAAGAAACCGACATTGAGGCGCTGCAGGAGTCAGTCCGCATCGCCGAGGAGCAAATCGCGTCGCTGCAACAAACTGTCGAGGACAAAAACGGCGAGATCGAGAACCTCCACGCCAAGCTCACGGCCGAGGGCGAGCGCGCCGACAGCGCCATCGCGCACGGCAACGACCTCCAGTCGAAACTCGACGAGACGGAACAGACACTGCAGCACACATCCACCAAGCTCGCCGACCTCGAGCAGTACCGCGTCGTGCTGCAGGACGACAACGAGGACGTGTACGTCACCGTCCTCGACAAGATCTGGACCAACATCGTAACCCTGGTCGAGGCGACCTTCCGCCCCGACATTGACGAGTCCATCCTCGCCGACCCGTCGTGCTGGACCAACCTGCGCAGCTCGCCCTATCTCAAGCACGCTACGTCGCTTCAAATCCCCCTCCCCCAGTCGAACTCGCCGGCCGCAAAGGGGATGCGCATCTCCGCCGTCCTCGCCGTCCTGTCCCGTGCTCTCCATCGCCACCTCTTCCGCCCCGTGTACCTGCTGGACGCCGACGCCGACGACGAGCCGCTAGTCCGCCTGCTCCGCCTGCTCGAGGACGACGACCCGCAGCGCGAGGCGCACATGCGCGCGACGCTGCTCTCCATGATGCCCGACCGGCAGATGGCGCAGGGCGCGCGGCGCGTCAAGACGGTCGTGCGCGAGGTCTCGTGGCTCGTGCAGCACCTGCTCGGCGCGCTGCAGTTCGAGGCCTTCTGCGTCGGGCTCGAGGCCGCCTGCCGGCTGGCGTGCGAGCAGTGGATGCGCATCCAGCTGGCCGCGCTCAAGATCGAGCCGTACTTTGGGCCGCCGTATGACGACTTCGACTGGCAGGTACTGGAGCTGCCCGAGTTCACCGAGGCGGCTATGCGCGAGGATGAGAATTCGGTCATGAACGGGTTGAGGCTGCCGTCGTCGCGGTCGGATGACGGCGAGGATTTGGCCGTCATGGATGGGCCGCTCGAGACTGTCGAGGCTGGTTCGTCTTCGCCGCCCCCACGGAATGGGACGCCGGCTGCTGCTGATGGGGAGAAGGCGGGTCATGCTAATGGCGATACGACGCCGACGCCGGATCACAATGATGGCGGCGGCGCGTCGATTCAGGAGGAGGATGACGACTACGCGCACCAGCACGACATGGCCATCGACGACGAGGGGGAGATCGAGCCCGAGGAGATTTTGCTGGTCGTCTGGCCGTCCATGTGCTCGGTCGAGGGCGGCGATTTGGTCTCGATCACGCAGGGGCTGGTCATCTCCAAGGAGCAGGCGCGGCCGGCGCTCGAGGAGGTGCGGGCCAGGTCGCGGATGATTGCGCGGCCGGGGTCGCGACGGGCCCGCACGCTCAGCATGCCGGCGCATAGTCGCGGGGGGAGTCCGACGCGGGTGAACGGCAAGGGCGGCGCTTTTTTACAGAACGGCGCGATGCAGTCGCCCCCTCTGGGAGGGGCTGCGTCGGCAGGGGAAGAGAAGCTGGGAGGGGAGGTGGCGCCGGTGGATGGTTGAGTCGGCTTTTGAGGGGGTGGAAGCATTGAAGCGTGAGAGGTAATGATCAAAAGGGGAGATTGATGAGTGTAACAAAAAGTTTGGCTTGGTTTTGTCTTTTTCTTTCCTATTTTTGTTCAGGGGGTTTAATTTCCTTTGTTTATCTTTCATGTTCGTTTTTCTGTGGTCTGGGTCGGGTTTGAGTTTCGGTTCAACAAGTCTAGCATTCCGCAGGCTATGTTTGAGGATAGATTCTTTCGTTCAGGGGTTTTCCTTCGCTTCGGTTTTGGCATTTTCATAGGCTGGCTGGGTTGAGGCTCGACATTGGTACGGATGCATGGGACGGCAGGGCACAGCGATGGACAGATGACGCGGCGTGGCCGGGATGATGGGAGAAATGCATCTATGTAGCCGTGTATAAACATCAGGTTTCTTGTTTTATTGTGTCATCGATATTTTCCTCCGACCAGTTTGGTTCTGTCTGGCTATTCCTACATTCTGTGACACTGTATGGCGGGTGTATCCGATACAAGGCTATCCAGCGGTGTTGTACTGCAGGCCGATGGTAGTTTGTAACAAAAAAAGAAACCTATTGCCCTTTATCCTCCTCTCATCAGGTCCTTGTGTCACGAAAAAAACCAAGGATATGGTGAGATATTTACAAATGCAAAAATGACAAGGGCGAGATTCGAACTCGCGCCCCATTTCTGAGACCAGGAAACTGGTTATTCGAAGAAAAACCTGAAATTCAAGTGGGCCTGAACCTGGCGCCTTGGACCGCTCGGCCACCTTGCCAATGTTGCTGATGTTATGTTGATTGCGTTGTTTTCGATTTCATCCTGCGACATCCGAATCGAAACTTTTTCGCGCAGTACCGTCTTCAACCGGTCAAGCCCCTGGATTTTGCAAGCACAGATCCACCCCTTACGTGGAGTTTAAGACGGAGATAATAGTAAGATTTTACTACCTACCTACGACGAAAAGGAGACACGATAACGGTCTTATCAGTATGGAAGATAGTCGTGCACTGCAATCGCCGAGATGATAATCGCCCGTCTACCTACCAGACTCACCGAACGCCGAAATTGGGATGGTTCATGCGATGGAGCTGCCAAGGTCTTTGAGAATACGACTTGTGCAAAACAGCGCCATGCCAAGGGAAATATAGGTAACGTAGACTGGGCTGATGCGTTAGATGCTACGGTGCTGACGGGATCAGTCCGATGTCCACCTTGCGTCCGGTTTTGGGTCGCATTGAAGCTGGTATATTGGGATGGGGTTGCGGTTGCAGCGTTGGTCCGCTGCCGTCTTTTGCATGCCGTTCTTCGTCTTTCACCTCTTCAACCTCTTGTCCCGACATTACCTAGGCACCTAGCCAAGTCAAATTTTTCCATCAATGCCTAACGTCAGCCTAGAGTTAGATCTTATTCCACGTTCAGAATGTTTCCTCAAATACAGCATCCGGAGCATCCGACGTGTAATAGCTGTAAGGCGAGGGTTGCCGCCGCCAAGTCTCATTTCCCAGGCTCCAAGGTGCCGTCGACGACTCGGCGATCTCCACCGTGCAACCCCGTCTCGGGAAGGTGAAGACGGCCCCAAGGCGCTACCCGTCGGCGTTCCAGACCACGGCCTGGCATTCATTCCCGGACGAGCAAGTGCTAAGACTCCCGACTTGGCGGCTACTCGTAATCGGCAGCTATGCACCGGCACGCGCCAGCAGGTTATCACGAGCGGGCCGCCAGGACGCCGGGCGGCCGGCGATGTCTGCGAAGGGAAGGAGAAAACCCGAGGGATTTACATTGATTCGCATGCGATAGCACATCAGAATCCGGGGAAATGGCATGCTGCGGTTCGGCATCTCGGAGGAAATGTTTTGATTGCCAAACATAAATAGGGGCCGGACGACATGTCCAGTTGTTGATCGTCATCCCTCACTCGACCGCGGCAATCAACAGGCCATCGTCAGCTTCCACCTGTAGTCAAGCCACTTCTCGTCACCATGAAGGTCAACGCCCTCGTCTCGGCCGCCCTCGGCGCGTCGGTCGCCTCCGCCGGCACCGCGGCGAGCGCCAGCAAGATGGAGGAGGTCATGGAGCTCAAGATCAAGCAGTGGGACGCGGCGCGCGCCCAGGGTCTTTTTGAAGGATCGCTCCTCTACCCCAAGATCAAGGCCGAGACGCCCTGCATCAAGGGCAAGGCGGGCGAGTACGGGTGCAACAAGGTCAACATGCACGGTTTCCTCAGCCATGAGGACCTGGGGTCCCAGACCAAGGCCGGTAACGACGTGTGGGGGTGGACGTCCAAGACGGGGCGCGAGTTCGGCATTGTCGGCCAGACGGACGGCGTCGGCTTCGTCGAGATCAACCGCGACGGCACGCTCGAGTACCTCGGCCGGCTCGACACCCAGACCACGGCGACCAGCTGGCGCGACATCAAGGTGATTGACCACCACGCCTACATCGGAGCCGAGAGCGAGAACCACGGCCTGCAGATTTTCGATCTCGAGAAGCTGCTGGACGTCAAGCCGTGGTGGAACCCCTGGTTCTGGAAGCCCAAGGTCTTCAGCAAGGACAAGGACCTGACGGCGCTGTTCACCGGCTTCGGCGCGTCGCACAACATCGTGGCGCACGAGAAGACCAAGATGATCTACGCCGTCGGCGGGCGGTCCGGCGCCAACGCGCGCAACACGACGTGCGCAGGCGGCATGTTCATGGTCGACGTGTCGAACCCGGCCAAGCCCGTGTCGCCGGGTTGCATCGCCCAGGACGGCTACGTGCACGACGCCCAGTGCGTCATCTACAAGGGCCCCTCAAAAAAGTACCGCAACCGCGAGGTGTGCTTCAACTTCAACGAGGACACGCTGACCATCATGGACGTGACCGACAAGAAGGCGCCCGTCGTCGTCTCGCGCACCGAGTACGTCGGCAACGCCTACTCGCACCAGGGCTGGCTGGTCGACGACAGCATGGAGTACCTGCTGCTGGATGACGAGCTCGATGAGCAGAACAAGCGGGGCCCGGCTGCTAACGGACATACGACCACTTACATCTTCAACGTGGCCGACCTCGAGGCGCCTGTCAACACTGGTTTCTACCAGAGCCCGGCCAAGTCGATCGACCACAACCAATACGGAAGTTTTTTTTTTGCTTGGAGTCAATCTCAGAGCAGGATATGCTAACGCAGTCAACAGGTTATCGACGGCCTCTCTTACCAGGCCAACTACGGCTCGGGCCTGCGTATTGTGGACGTGTCGGGCGTCAAGCGCGACCCGACGGGCGGCAACTTTGAGGAGGTTGGCTTCTTTGACTGCCACCCCGAGGACGACGCAGTCAACGGTGTGGTCGAGTTCCTCGGGACCTGGTCGGTGTACCCGTACTTCCGCTCGGGCTACATCCTGCTCAACTCGATCGAGCGGGGCATCTTTTCTCTCAAGTACACGGGGCGGAAGTCCAAGTTCTGAGGGTGTTGTTGTAATCAAGGATGGAATTGAAACCATAATAGATGCCGTAATGAGACGATCGGTGATTAGTAGGGCATCCCGTTTTCTGACCCATTCCTCCCTTGACATTATTGTCGCTTTCTCTCAAGGTGAGGACATGATCCTCGGCTCTGGTATTTATGCTGTGAAACTGTTAGAGGGGTCACGCCCTTTTAACAACCGCGAGTAGGGGGGAGGGCTCGCGGAGCAACATTCAACCCCATCTGATGCGGGGTAACAGGCGAGACATAAAAACATACCCCTTTCAACCGTTCCCATCAACATCGTGTCAAGCAAGGCATCCCTTTCTCTTTCTTTCTCTTTCTATCATTCACCACCAAAAAAATGTCGGAACCAACTCGGACCCTCACAGCCCAGTGCCACTGCAAAGCAGTGCACTTCTCCATCACCGTCCCCGTTTCGTCCCTTCCCCTCCGCACCCACCTCTGCCAGTGCTTCATCTGCCGCCGCGTCCACGGCACCTTCGCCTGCTTCCACGCCCCGCTGCCCGTGCCCATCGAGCCGGTCTTCATCGCGCCCTCGTCCCTGCAGGGAACCACAACAGGCTACACGCACTCGACCCTCGCCGCCGCGACGCGCTACTTCTGCTCAACCTGCGGCTGCCACATCGGCGACCGCGACCTCGACCCCGTCCCCGACTCCTCGGGGCAGGAACCATTCCGCGAATGGCGCATCACAACATCCATCTTCCCAGCAGAAGCCCAATCCACCGCCTTTCTTATTACCACCCACTTCTACGCCCACGCCGAACCAGGCCCCACTCTAGCAACCTGGCTCCCCCGTCTCGAATTTTCGTCCTCTCCCCCCAAAGAAATAAAACCCATCACGCCCGCCCCAAACGACCCCACCTTCCCGATCCCGCGTCCACCCCTCCCCGTCCCGGAACGCCACCGAGACGGCCACCCCCGCCTCCGCGCCGAATGCCACTGCGGCGGCGTCTCCTTCACCATTTGTCGGCCTGACCACCCCGTCCTCATCCCCTTTGGTGATTTAGTCTCGCGGTTTGCGAGCAAGACGGATGACAAAAAATGGCTCGCCACGCTGGACGCGTGCGACGACTGCCGGCTCGTCACCGGCGCGCATGTTATCGGCTGGACGTTTGTACCGTCGCGCGCGATCGAGCCGCGACCGGTCCTGCCTTCGTTTGAGGGGTTCGGGACGATGAGGACGTATTCTTCGTCGGAGGGCGTGACGAGGGGGTTTTGTGGGGTTTGTGGTGCCACGGCGGTTTATTTTTGTGAGGCGGCAGATCGGGTGGTGGGCGAGGGCGAGGGGAGGGAGTGGATTGTTGATGTTGCTGTTGGGTTGTTGCGGGACCCGGCAGGGCCGGCGGCTGAGGGGTGGGTTAGTTGGCGTACTGGGCGGGTTGCGTTTGCGGAGGATGGGAGGAGGTTTGATGAGGCGTTTATGAGGGGGTTGGAGGGGGGGCTGCGGGAGTGGGGGGTGCAGAAGGATGGGGAGGCGCTGGACTTTGAGATTCCGGATGATGGTTAGGGGTGGGCCAGAGCTAGGGGCCGGTGGTGTGTTGGTGGTTGCGTTGGTGACTTTGTTTCTTAACCAGATGCGGCGCTGCAGTAGCCTGGCGCGAGCTCGATTCTGGGATGGAGGTCGTCAGTTCGATATGTTATGCTGGAGTTTCAGTATCTTGAGCCTCCGGTTCCCTTTTGGCCGTTACCGGAATATCATAAATTGTTTTACGTTGCGGGTAAGTGAGGGGGGCTGCAAGTGCAAATCAAGTTAGGAGGACCTAAGGTCAACGCCTTGAGAAGATTTTAGTGGGCCAAGAGAAAGAATCCACAAGGAGGCTATCTAGGAGCAGGAAAGATATTTTGTGGTGGCTTGGATATCATATTGAGGACCTCATCATATTATACTTGACCGTTCAAGTGGTAGTTGTTTTGGAAATGGGGACCCAGATCTCAGCCTGATGTACATGTTACCAAGGACCACACCAGCTGTGCGAGTTCTTCACCGGAGCTATGGCTTCAAAATGGTTTTGCAATCGCGACCACACAGCAACCAACCCAGCAGACACAGGGCTTTCCATTTTCCATCCGACATCTTGTTTCTAGTGTCTGCCCCTTGTTTAATGACAGCTGTATCCTGAAAGTTGCGTTCATGTTCTCACAGTCTGTTGGTTTTGTACTTGCTGTGCGTGCCGGAGTAGCCGGGATTGGGAATATAAGACCCAGTCGTGTCCAAGAATTGGCAAAGAGAACTCTCATACCGTCGACAAACTTTCACGCGGTTGACGCAGACTTTTCTGGTCGGAAACTCGGCAAGCGATGTAAACACT